ATGGTAAATTGTAAAAACAATAATATGAAAAAGCCAGCAGCTAAACTGAAAATCAAGATGGAGAGTTTACTGAAGTTCCATGTAGGCAGAAAGATAACACCAATGTTGTGAGGGTGTACTGGCCCTCTTTATCAAAGTGACAAGCAGAGGCAATAAGAAAAGTCATAGTGCATACCTATAAAATCCTACTTATCAACACCAAGAGCAATCAGCTGACCATCTCACCTTTTGTATGTAGATGTCCAGAGCAGGTTAAATGAACCGGAACCCTGTGTACGAAAAATAAACTTAAACTTAATACATCACTGCCAAAGAAGATGGAGTTTTAAAAATTGATATAAAAAAGGCCAGCTCCTACCTGTGTATGCCCTGCATTCAGGAGGAAGAGCAGACGTTCTGTACCTGAATGGGATCCGTGGGGAATGGAATACTGTTGTGGCATGCATTCCACCAAAACGTTATGTCACCTTGATAAAAAGAGCCCCATCCACCACTAAAACATTGCTATTATCCTTCTTCTGATATGAAGTATTAGTGAACCCTTCATCTGGATTTTCAGTTTGGTGTGCTGGATGTTTTCATACTATTAGCAGTATAAACCTGACAGCTGTTCTTACCCTTCCCCCTCCATCCAAAACTTGGAAAAAACGTTTTTTTGGCTTTGCATACACTCTAATAACTAACATTTTCCCAATGTCTTTCATCTTTAAAAAGTTATTCACAAGGGTCAGTTATATTGCCATGGCTGATAGGGATGGTAGGAATGCTAAAAGCATGTCCTCTTGACAATATTTGAGAACTGGAATTAAGAGTCACTATCCCAAATACTTGCAATCTACAAGGGCAATTCAGTCAAATATATATTATGTTCAGTGCAGATACCCATAGCAACAATGAGTGTTTACATAACTAGTGCTAAACCAATACATTAAGAATGAACCTTATGACTTAATGATAAAAACGCACAACTGTATTGTGAACCTGGTTCTGAGGAAGGGGGCGTGCCCCAGAAACATGTAAACCGAGACCACACAGGGGCAGTGGACGCTGATGCTGCACATCTTTTCAGTCTTCCGCTGCTAGATGATTTGACATCCCATTGTTTTCTACATGCCTTTTTACTACCGACTTGTTGTAAGTACAATACAGTTGTGCGTTTGTATCATTAAAATTCATTTTACACTATGGAGGCGCTCCTTTTTGTTTTTTGTCTCTCAGATTGAAGGTCCTTTGACCTGTGGGAGCTGCCTCTTCACTGTGTTTGTTACCATTTCAATTGGCCGATATTGCACGTGGAGGCGCCGGTATTGTTTCCTGACGGTATTGTTTCCTGACATAGTATATACCTATACCTTCATAGGCTCGATGGGCAAGAAACTAGCACTAGCTCTATCCATACCTTAATGTATAACTAAACTCAAATACAAAATGTAATATATTGCAGGTTACCAATTCTTGAAGGGTGCACCACACTTACTTTTTTGCATTGCAGTAAAGTGTGGTAAAACATTTGTTTTACAGTGAGTTATCACAACACAGTAGTGTGAATAAGACCATCAGAGTGAGACAATTCCCTGATGTTATATACTCTTCCTCTTGTATATTCCATGATAAAATATAAACTTAATATCCAGCAGAGTAAGTGAGAACCCCTTACAATGGCTAAAGTAGCATATCAACCTGGGACCTCCAAAGTCTACCTATTAGCCTGCCTTTGGTTGGCATAACTCTCCTGGAAGTACCAACAATGTAAATGTCAGTTTTGGTTTGCATCAGGTATTGTTTTAATGAAAGCTGCAGATTTATTGGAAATGACTTTCATATTACATTAACTTGTTAAATATTATATAAGATTTTAGTAATTAGACTGACTTCTAGCTGTCCATCTGGCACTTTACAGGCAGTTTTAACCAGTCTTTTGTAGCAGTAATGACCAAATAAATCATTATATCCTACTACCAATGGTGCCAGTATTAAATATGAAATGATCAAGGCTTGTTAGTACATTACTTTGATTTGTTTGGTTGATTTTGCAGCTGAAATCTGCTTGAAAGGGATTGAAAAAGGTTTACATTGCCTTGATTGGTCTTCTCTCTCTCCACTCACCATTCCATATCAGTAATATAAATCAGGCTCAGACATTGCCACTACCAAATGGAGCCAGGGGGCATAGGCATTTTACTATGCTCCTCAGCTCTATCTAGTGGTGCGAACACCATTCACCCTGTTATACACTGGGCAAACCTTTAATATTTCAACCCCTTAGTGTTTACTTCTTAAAAATTCACCAGACCTCAGATTTTACTGCGAACACACCTTATCAGAACATGTCTATGTCATTTCTAAATACTGTCTATGGATTCACATAGTGTAAACATTTCTTCATAGTGATGCATTATATATTTATTGATTTACTTTTAGAATATCATTGTGTCTTGAAAACAAGGAACCCATTATAGGCAAGATGGATTTTAATAGTGTTTATTTTTCATTTTGCAGTTTACAGTCACACAGTACAATTTACCAACTAATCTAATTTTAAGACCTAAGGCAATGCCCCAACATTCCATATATTACAAAGTCATTACAAAATGCATGTAGAATACACACCTTTCCTACAAAGCCAGTTTGACAATTTAGTTCTTCATAATTGCAATCGCTATTTCATTATATCATAAGAAAAAAAAGTTAAGGTTTAAAGAGACATTTTCTACTATGACAAATCTAATAGTTCTACTATGGGGGTTATTCACTAAGCTGCCGAAGGCAGTCGAGTGAATAACCGAGCCAAAGTGAATAACCCCCTATATATTTTGCCTACATTTAAGTCCCAACTCTAGACAAAACTTTTTTTTTTCTCTGTGTTCTTTGGATGTCAGCTTCTGACATATGGGTGCATGCTCTGCCTGTAGGAGGCTGGACAATAAGCAACTCAAAGGTACAGCTCCTCTTAGTTGCTTTACCCCTGTGCACACTGAGTTAATTCAGTTTTGGCTTAGTATCTTTGCAAGGTAGGATGTCTCTTTCCAGATCTACTGAATCAGAGGAATCTGAACTTATAGATTCATACAGGTCAACTATTGACAATGGCTGGCAGTGTCATGCTGGACATCCAGATCCCGGATATTCAAGCCAGCATTAAACATTTAGCTCAGTGTCTTACTGGACTCCCAGATGCAGCTATTCACTTCAGCAACCATTTTCCAGCTGAGTGTCATAATTGAACTCCAGATGCAGATCTTCACTGCAACAACCATTCTCCAGCTTAGTGTCATACCAGCCCTACAGATTCAGTTATGTATTGATGCTTTGTTTCCCTGTGGTGGAGAGTAGATGGTATATTGTTGTTGGAACAGTTTAGACCTAGTTTTTGTGTTGACTAGCTGATAAGTGTGCTTGGGGACGTTTTGTACTGTATTGTTGTTTTATGACCTTCCATTCTTCCAAAGGTGGCATCCTTTTCCATCTTAATGGGGATATAGTGCTACCCACATTCTGTACATATCCTTACTATACATGGTTGCCCTTCACTTTCTGGATGTGGTGCAGACATTCAGGATTTCTCTGTCTGACACAGCTTTTTCCAACAAGAGCTCCTCTTGGTCATCTTGGCACGTACCTATAAGGGGTCTTGTTCCCTGTCATTTTCTTAAGTTTATCCCATTCCTAAAGACTATGTCAATCTAGAAGTTTGGAAACTAACTTCTACTAACTATGGAAGATGCCCATGGGATGTACTTCCTCAATGCAGTGACACAATTTCACTCAGCCCTGTGGATATGCACTTTCTTGTGTCACTGTCTGCTGTCCGAACTACAACTAAACCCTTCCCCCTCTCTCATAGTGAACACAGGAAATACCCATAATGTAACATTAGCTTTGCTTGCTGGAAGCAATACATGATGGGATATGTAGTCTTGAGAAATCAAGATTGCATCACATAAGCAGAAGAGAAATAGACGCAAAGCACACTGGGAATCCAGAAAGCTGCTGAAAGTAATGGATAAACAGAAGGCAACACTCACTGCATAAAAGGGATTTGTTTAAGTAAGCTTTGATTGCATTATCAAAAACAACTATACTATGCATTGGACATGTGCATGGCAAAAAAAAATGTGTTTTGGACGAAGCAAATAAAAAGTAAAAACATTTTCATTCGTCAAAGGAAACTCATTTCTATGCTGTTTCGTATTCGGAGGCAACGAGCCTCCGAATCTGAAACCACACAATAAACTGCAGAACAAACGCATTCTGCGCCTGCACACCCCCATTTTGGAGTGTATTTTGGTACATCATGTTCGTTTTCGTATATGTGGGCATATAAAAAATTTGTTATTTCGGATTCGGACGAAGCGCCGAATCAACTGAATTTCGTTGATTTGCAGGATTGTCCGAATCCGAATGCACTTGTCTAGTATGCATTCCTATTACAATGATGATGTTATAACAGGATAGTATATGTTGTGACTTTAGAACTCATTTAAGATCATTCTTCCAGAAGGTTATTTTTCCCTGTTGCTGTTTGCTCATTACTTGCTACTCCTGGGCTTGCTTGAAGTGTACATACGGTATAGCCACTAGAAGGAGCTGTGCCTTTGATCTGCCTAGTGCCCAGTCTCCTAGTGGCAGGCATATACTTGGAAATCAAATGCTGTGTTCCCAATGAACTACTGGAGAAAAGGATTTTAAGGTTAGTACAGACATCCATTTATTTTATTTTCAATAGAGTAGGGAAGGATTGGAGTCTCTGCAAGGTTTTAAATGCTGTCTGGATCCCTATTTGGGAGATTAGAAATCTTTTCAAACTTAAAATTGGGCATGAGACCTGAAGGCACCTTCTATCCCATTTGTTATCCAGAAAAAGCTGGTTTAAGGTGCATTCACACTGATCCACAGAAGTGCAGCATACCTTGATAGGTGTGAATGGATCCATATAATTTTAATTTGGCACCAGCACAATAGGAAAAATTAGATTTCTACTTTCATTCAGCAAAAAGCATGCTTCATAACAATGGGCAATTGTGAATAGGCCCTAAGTCTTCTACTCTAAGGGTTGACATCTCTAACTTTGAGTTAAGTCTTACCCACCAATTCCAATTGGTCATTAAGGTGCTCTCATTGGACAGCAGGTGACAAGCTAGTACAGGGTTAAAAAGTGAGGCCAGAACAACAGGTAACAGGCAAAGATCTTTTACAAGTAAAAAAGATAATAGCTGGAACCTTGTAGTACCTGTTTTAAGAATACACTTTTTACAGGGTAACTCCAAGTTGAGAAAAAAAAATCCCTTTTGGGTGATCAATGTACAATGCAAGGATTTTAACAAACTTTTTTGCAGATTCCTACTTGTTTTCTGTTTGAAGAAACCGCTGTTTGTTCCAGCATGTCCTTTCCAAACTGATTCCTGAACGAGAGGGTCTGGGTTTGTTATAATCAGCCGGTGGACTTGGTGGATGTTGATGGATGTTGTAATGTGGAAATTTGCAATGCCAGCATCCAAAAAATGAAATTCCTATTGCAAGGGATGCCCACGTATACAAAACACCTCTAGGTTGTCATATTGCATTGGTTTATTTTTTAACCGTTTTAGAAAATTACAGCAGCTGCAGTTTTAAATGGAAAGTTAATTTTTATAACATTAAATGAAAAAAATTACTTGTGCAGCAAATATATATGCTTTATTCATTTTATTTTACAATTGTTTCATTTTTATTTTTTAAAGTGGATTTCCCCTTTAAAGTTTTATAAATATTATTATTATTATTATTATTATTATACAGGATTTATATAGCGCCAACAGTTTGTGCAGCGCTTTACAATATAGGGAAGACATTACAATCACAATACAAATCAAGACAAGATGGTAAGGAGTGCCCTCTATTGGCATACATTAATGAAACTTCCCAACTTGCATTACAGATTCAAGATTCACTATGAATGCTACTTTGCTATATGCTACTATATCCTAATATTTTTATTTTTTATGCAGGTTGTATTTTAATGGCGGATTTGACAATGTTTCCTGATAGGTTTGCCTGAAAAGAGCAACTGTGTATATTTTAACACATTATAAATTAGATAGCTACAGTAAATCATACCCATTCATGTTTTTGTTGCAGAAAGTGCCAAGGAAGCTTTAAGTAAGACCATGGTTGTTGAGCAGCTGGTAAAGCAGCTGAAGAGAGCAGAAACCCATGAAAGAGTTGAAATTATCATTGAGGTTCTCCAGATGCTGGCAGAGAATGGTATGTATGCGTATCACAATCATTCTAATGTAACAAACTCTCCAGTTCTGGAGCTTACCGTCTGCGTAATGAGTAGAGAAAATCCGCTGGCTGAATTGGGTCTAGTGGGAAGCCATGTGAATCAGGGCAGAACAAGTTGGGATGGATGGATGTATGCAAGGCTCATCCTTGTGAAGACAATAAGAATTTTACAGGGGACTGGAAATAGCAGACATCTGTTTGAGAGTGCAGTTATGTTTTGATAGCCAGATGGGACAGAACAATTTCAATGTGTTTCAGGCTTTTATTAAATCCATCAGTCCTTTGCCATTGACTTGAGTATCAATGTAAAAGTGACCAGGACAAGTGTACAGATGAACTTTAAAGTGATTGCCTAGATGTTGCCTAAGGAGTAACAAGGACATTTTCTTTAACCGTGAAATCTATTGGTTCCCTATATGTCTCCATTACTTAAGTTAGGGAAGAGGGGGATATTTTATAAACTGCACAATATAATAATTGAGCTATAGCAGCAAACAAACTAATAAGAAGATGGAATTCGGGAACAAAACACATCAACGGTGTACCATGTTGCACATAAATTATTCAACAGTAATTCAACAGATATAAGATCTGTATGTAACAGTTGAAAAGTAAACCTAAAGATGCATACACAGAGTGCAGACTAGCTGTTCAGTTATTTCCTTTTTGTTTGAGCATTGCTCTTAGTGCCTTGGGCCACCCTGTTTATGTTGTCAGTAATCTTGGAATCCCCTGCTTGTAATGCCGGATAGAAATTTACAAACACGCCTACTGCATTCATGGCTAGCTGTCATATGCTGTGAAATAAATGGCAGGTATCTCACAAGACAGCAGTAAGATTCAGAATGGCCTTGGAAGTTAGAATGGATTAGTGATAGGGATGCACCGATATATCGGCCGCCGAAACATATCGGCCGAAAATTGCACTTTTGGCATAATGCCGAAAGAGCCATGTTTCGGCCGATACATCGGGTCATCCCTGGTTTCTTTTCTCCCCGCTGGGCGCTGTTCCAGCGGGGAGAAAAGAAAGTGACAGCCGCCGAGCGCTGCAGGAGTCAGGACGAGAGCGCTGTGAGCTGCGGCATCTCTCCTCCCACACCGCTCAGCCGCCTATCACAGTCCGGCAGAGCGGTGTGTGGGCGGAGACATCGCTGTCACAGGAGGCTGGGCTTTCCTCTCTACACGGCTCGATCAGCCTCTTGTGACAGCGATCTACATCACCCCCATTCATTCATAATTGTAGTTATAGTAAACATGCCATGTACTCATGTTATCAATGAACAGGAACACTCATAGAGGATTCCTGTTCATTGATAACAGGGGACACAGAAAAAGAGATTGAGGACTCTGTGTTCTCAATCTCTTTTTCTATTTTAAAAGGGAAATATCAGGGGTCTGTTTAGACCCCTAATATTTCCCCGAAGCCCCTAAAAGTAAAGTAAAAAATAAAAATATTTAATAAAAAATGAATTAATAAATAAAAATAAATATAAAACAATTTAAAAGTTTATAAAATAAAAATATTTACAAAAATTGAAAAAATAAAAATAAAAAACATTTTCGGTATCGGTTTCGGCCTGACATTTTTTTTTATTTCGGTTTCGTTTCGGTTTTAAAAATTCCATTTTGGTGCACCTCTAATTAGTGATACAGGAAGCAAAGATAGATGAAGTTAAAATATGAATGCTTCATATGCACCCCTGTGAGGTGCTCTTAGAATTCTAGCTGATGTGTATAACAGAATGTGATGGAGTTCAGGTCTATCTACACTTGTTCTTCTGTTCTTTCTGTTCTTTCCAACTTGCACTTATCTGATAAGCCACCATCATTCCCTCCACTATCATTGTCTACCCTGGTCTTGCACACTTGTCTGCAATCTACCAGTAACCTCTTAGGTATTTATAGATCTTTTCTTCCTGCAGGAGGCTGTTGAAGTGTTTTCTGACCTCTAGACAACTCCTCCTTCACTGCTAGTCCTGTTATTTAGATCATTGTGCTCATCTTGTCTCCTGTCTCTGTGTTTTCTGGTCAGTGTTGTTTTTATTGTACTAGTTTTCCTTCTGTTTCCAACTCTGCCCATGTGTGTATCTTTGTTTTCCACTCCAACTTCTTTCCATTGCATATCCACAGCTGTCTAACATGTTCCTAGCTACGTGTTCTTTCTTGCTCATGGTTATAAATCCTTGTTTTCCATCCAGCTTTTCTGCATTGTTTCTATGTACACTCCATCTACCCCCTCTGTTTCCATTTTACCCATCAGGATATTCCAGGTCCTTTAGGATTTTTGATCTTAACAGTCCAAATCTCCCTAAGTTCAGCATTTTGTAAGCCCTGGTGAAGGGGGCCCTTTAGAATGACAGTAATGTGTTGGATTTTAATTGAATATTACAAACAAACTATATATTGACTCAAACGTAAGTGTGACACTCCTCTCTATATCTTTGGAAATTATATTACTAGAGCTGAGACATGGTTCCTATTAGGGAAGCACCAATATCGGCTTTTCGGTATCGAGTATGAGTACCAATATTTTTTTGGGGGGTACTTGCCTATACCGAATACCGATACCAGAAGTCATTAGGAAGGATTAGTCCCTGTAGGGTCAAATAAAGAAATAGGGCATGCAGCCATAAGGATTTAGATCAAAATGCATCCTCCTTTGGTACAGGTTTTAGAGCTTATGTTCCAGTAATGAAAAGTGCAAACCACAATTTCTGAACCATGCATGATAAATGAGAAAGCATAGATTAACTCCTCAATATAAGATAAGTTCTATTTTGCTTCATCATAAATATTTTTAACATCATAATTCTCCTATTTAGAACCCCTTAAGATACAGCTGGTAGATGCTTCTGTCCAGGAGACACTTTGTAATATCCTTCAAAGACTACAAGACAGCTCTCAGACAGAGGATATGTGTACAATGAAGTCATCATCAGACCTTATTGTGTCACTGCTTCTTGGTGGTAAGCATATTTATTTAAAAATAATGTATAGTAAAATGTTTTGCATGTAATCTATAAATATTTCAAATCACAGATCCAGGAAGTTACCAGAAAAACAATAAAATTCCCACTTACAGCCCATGTGTTAATTTGAGTTATTTTAAAAATCATTACATACTCCTTTATTTGCTTTCAAGGCACATTGGAAACATCATAGACTTGGATAGCTTTTAGTTTAGTGGGACAACTCTTAAAAGTGTTACTCCAGCCAAAATGCTTTATTATTCTTGGATAGCAGTAAAGGTAAAGCTCATCTGTAGCTTACTTAGAACAGTGGAGTATGAAATACTTGTTTGTTCAAAAGAAGTGATAGACCTGGGGCAAAATTAAATCCTTTGCTGGCTATTACTGGATGAATTCATCCATTCAGGTCGTGGAAAATGTGGTCCCACGTATCACGCAATGCTCTGAAAATGGTATCCGATGATGCTACAATACAGTTATGTTGTTAAACATTATTTGTTAATTTTACATCACAGGACATGGG